GCCAAGGGGTGTTCGAGTGGAAAGGACAAGTCAGGTTTGTGTTCATTCTGTTGTCTTTTGTTTGTATCGAAGTAATGCCCGTGTACACTAGTCATATCTTGCTATACCTTAAGTATACATACAGTGGGTAAATACTATACACTCCGTGTATCGTACATAACAAGATGATGAGGAGCTTATAGTTGTAAGAGGTGCTTGCAGGCTAGCTCTAACGGACAGGAGGGGCCTGGGAAGTCTGGAGACACCCTTGGTCAAAGTGATAGGTACTGTTATCACTGGCTCTGACACTTATTTTCTGTAAACACGACTGCTGGAGGCATTTTATTTGCTTTTATGAGCTCTTTTCTGACCTTTCCAGGCAGTTAAGCAAAATATGAATGTTCACACAAACTTCTTTTTATTTCAACAGTACTGAAGGAAAATAACAAGAAACATTAACATGTTTTAGATCAAATGCAGCATAGATTTATTGAGGGAGGTGCAGGGAAACTGTAGCTGCCTTTTCCCTTTAATGTCTCTCAGGATGGGATGTGCCCACAAGACGTCCCTTCTGTCCACCCATAACTGTGGGAGCTCTGAATTTAAGCAATGATAAATGGTATTTGTAGTTAATGGATGGCGTAAGCTAGAATATATGAAAATTAAAAATATGCGTACTTTGATTTTTGTCCTCCAATTTTCAAGGGTTTGTTTTGGTGTAGATCTTTTTACTGTGGCTTCCAGGTGGCAGCTAATGAGATTTGGGCAGCAGACAGTTTTGACGTCTGCATGGCTTACTACTTGGGCATAGGAATAGTTTGTTTTCAAGGTGGGTTAAACACAGAAGGTCAGTTCACACTGATCCAATCGAACTTAATGGTTCAGGATCATCTTTAGATACAATGAGTGCTGAGACAGAAAAAAAAAAAAGTGCCAAGATCAGTTATTTCTGAGACCACACAGCTGGCTCCTTTTAGAAGGCTTTTGGTCATTCTGTGCAGGTTGTCCACAGCAGTCAGCTGTTGGACCTTTGTCTCTGCTCTTCTCTTTTCCAGACTCTATTCACTTTTCTGTGTCTGCTCACTGGTAGCAGTATATGTCCACTTTGCATTCTTCCTACGTGGAAATCTATGTTCAAGATAGAAAGCTTAAAACAAGTGTCATTCAGGCTTAGAAATTACAAGGTTCTTTAAATATTTTAGATCTGGGTTCTGGGATATATAGTTTTGATTATTTATTTCTTTGTAAGAATAATTTTAGAAGCCCTCAAAAATAATCTAAAAAATACCTAGGAAGGGGGCTGTGCTGACTAGTCTTAAGCCTCCTCCTCCTCTCTTACCTGAGGTATGTGAGGTAATGTCATGTAATGCATGTCAGTGGAGCCGGTCTCTTTCAGTCTGGCAAAATAGCAAGAACCTTAAGTCCATTATGAAGAAACATCATTTTAGTCTACTAGTTATGCCAAATTTTAGGGATGATAAACAAGTATTCTTTAATAGGCTGATGTGCATGGAAAGAAGAAACTGGCAATGACCAACGCAATCTCCAACCCTAATATATTTTGTGATTGAATCTTCAGTACTGGCTTTTTACTAGAGGCAATTTTGTATTTTGCTTACTAAAAATATCCGAGAGATTTGGTGTGATCTGTGTAGCAGAACAGTATATAAATTTCCTAAAGGCCTGGGGATAGTGTTCTGCTGATGCTGCTGTTAGACAATATGCATGAAGGCGCATCTGCCATGGCTCTTTCCTGGCCCACGGCTCTAGTGCTGCAGGGATGGAATAACAGCATTTCTTAGCACAGTGCTGCTGTAAAAAAACATCTGGGCGAGGAGACTGTTGGCGGGGGGATGACACATCTGTAAGGTGTCCGGTCGCACAGCACTTCTGCAGTGAGCCTGGTGCCAGAGCCGTTGCTTCAGGTGGGTTTGATCATCTCTTCCACACTGCTGGGTTCATCTTGGTGCACTGGGGCAGAAGGATTCATGCAGCGCTCCCGTGTGTTTGGTTACCCCAGCACATCCTGTTCCTCAGATGTTACTGAGACTTTGACCTCGTGCTTGGGACTGCTGGATGTCCTGCAGGAGGAGCAGAATTACTAAACCTTTGATTCACGGATAGTTTAGCTGTAAGCACAGAAAGGACGCCAGGATATGGCCCCAAGCAATGTCCAGTGATTGCAGGAGAGACATGTCTTCATTATATGGCTTCTTTGTTCTCAAGTGGCTTGCTTTGTGGCAGGAGGGCTGGCCTCTGTTTCCTCCCTGGCACTGATAAGGGGGGGCAGGCTCTCTGTGGCTTCTTACCCTGCTCAATTTTCTGACCATTTGTGTCCTTAATTTCCAGATGGAAATTCTGGTATCGGACAGAGAAGAGTTTAAGGCGTCGGGTGCTCCATCCTTCCTCCTTTCTGTGAGGAGGCTCTCCTTTACTCCTCTGCGGAGGAGCACTGGCTCGCTGCCTGGTGCTTGCCATGAGGACAGGCGGTTTGTTCCTTTTTGCATTACAACACTTGATTAAATTCTTCAATTAAAAGCCTGGGCTGTGAGGTAGCAGCTGACCTCTTGCTGCAGCTGTAGGCAAGCTGGTGGGACAGGCTGCCAGGGCAGAGAGGGACTAGATTTCAATGTGGATACTGGAGTTTCAGGTGCCCCAATTTTCTCTGTAATGAGATTAATTTTATGCCTAGGGCTTCTGCCTGCCCCTTCCCTCTGCAGGTGAAAAGTAATATCTCTACCTGTCCCCAATGCGTTTTGGGGAAAAACAGAAGGCGGAGGAAAGTGAAGTGATTGCTTTGGTATGGGGACTTAACAGTTCCTTTTGCTTGAGCAGCCCTCTTTTTGCTGTAAGATTTCTTTGGCTTTAATAGAATAGTGGTTTTTTATAATTAATTATGTTTAAGTGGGCCATGTGGTATTTGGAAGGGAAGTGGGCACACTCCGCTGTGGGGATGGAAGCATACAGCAGTGTCCCCTGGGTGGCGGATTTCTGATGCAGCTCGGGAGGAGAGGATTCAGCTGAGACCCTGGCTATTGAGATTTTGGGAATGCATGACTTATTCCTGTAAGCAGCATTGAATTTGACCCATGATGGGGTCAAGCTTGCCTCCCCAAATTCAACTATTTTTATTAGTTGTACATAGATTGATCGTTTCACCTGGATGCAGTACTTGCAGAGCTGTAATTACAAGTGAGTGCTTACCACATTGGTAGTTTTGGACAGCAAGGTATGTGGGATTTTTTTGCAGGTAATAAAATGGAAAATCCAATTTGCAATTGCAAAGCAAGTCCCTGAGCGATGCATGATCTTCATAGCCGCGCTGGTCAGAGGGCTACGGCTAATCACAGTGCTGGCTTGCTTCCCCGGTGGCCTGAAAACCGAAGAGCGAGCAGCCTTGAGCCAGCCAGCACAGATGCAGACACACCAGTTTCTAGCTTATTAGGTCCTCTTTGTCACAGTACTTAATCCTGCTCCCTGATCCTTGTTAGAACAGGGCTGCTGAGTCCCTTAATAAAGGAGATGGGTGCGAGGCTCCTAACGAGGCGCGCTGAAGCGTGAGGCAGCGAGGGCAATTGCCGCCTGACTGACAGAGGGGTGAAATGCTCCCTGCCTGTTGTTATTTCAAAAGAACAGGCCTCAGACAGCTGACAGATGAGCTTGCCGAGGTGATGGTGACTTGTTGATAGGCCGATATGAGATGCTTGACATCTTTTCACACAGCATAATGGTCTGTCTTTACTCAAATTGTGTTAACCCTTTTTGCGGAGAGAAACACGTCAAGGATTAGCTGCAACGTAGAGCATGCACCCAAATGGCCAGCAAGCGTGTGGCTTGCAGCGGCTCCCGTAACATGCGTGTGTGTTCATGCTACTGACACGAGTGCCTTTAATTTTGAAAAACTGGCACATCAGGTTGATTTCAGATTTCTGTGACAGCTTGGCTCAGTCTTCCAAACCTTGTCTTTTTTTGTTTTGCTTTGTTTCTCATAGTTAAAGATTTTTTTTTTATTTGTTACTTTAGCTTTCAAGGGGGAGGGTATGCATCTCTTCATCATAAAATTCACAAAAATATCTTTTAAATGGTAGCACAGATTTCTTATTTTAATATGAGGAAAATATTTCAATGGCTAGACTGTCCTGGAATTCAGCCTGTTGTATCCATAGTCATGAGGAATTTGAGTAGAGCCTGTACTGTTTTGGTTTTGTGTGGTAAACATTTACCAAACAAACAAAAATACCTCAAGCAAACCCCTGGAATGCCTCTTAAGTCTTCCTGTCAACAGAATAGGTAAAACTGGCATGCTGCAAGAATGACATTTTTTTTGTTTTTCCTCAGTATAGAGAACTATAAGCACAGATCAGTGGTAGGATCTCGGTACAAACAACATGTTGGGCACTGGGAGGGCAAAAGCCTGTTTGGCATCGCTTGTTGACGTTACGCTTGGAGCCATGATCAAGAAAAACTTTGCAATGCTAAACTTCAGCAGAGCAAACTCCTGCCACAGCATCGTTCTCCTTTCATTCCTGCAAGCCATGGTGGAGAGGAATACTGTGCTGAGTTGTCTCATAGGCCTGAAGATTATGTTTAATGATTGAGACACTTACTGCTGCAACAGAGCTAGGGGGTTCCAAGTTAGAAATCGGGAAGCCCCAAGTTCTACTGCCATTGTTCTGCCTGTGCTGAGTGAATTTACTCACCTGCAGAAGGACACCCCAACACCTATGCACTATTAAGCCCTGTTTAAGACCAATTTGATGAAGAAATATTATATTCAGTGGGCCGAGTTCAATCCTGTTGTGCAATATGTAGTAGCACTGTGAAATGAATAGAGTGGAACTGCAACCATCATGGTGGGAGCTGCTATGTCCTTTTCCTCTCCACTAAGACTGAAATATTTGCGTGTATTATGGTTGTACTCTGAAATGATTGAAAAGTTTTATATTCACAGCAACATATTTCTTTCAAATTTTTCTGATTTCAGAATTTTTTCATATGCCGTTTTGTTTAATCCCTTTCAGGTAATTTGGATTTGACTGGTCAAAAGCAAGTCTTCAAAGCAGAGAACAACCCTTGGGTTACCCCTATTGCTGACCAGTTCCAGCTGGGAGTATCTCATGTTTTTGAATACATACGTTCAGAAACATATAAATAGTAAGTATTGCTCTACTGTAGCTGTGGTGTTGTTTTTTTTTCCTGTAACGTGTTTGGCAAATTGTTATCAGCTACACGCTTCTTCCATGATCCATGCAGTAACTTGGTATTCAGGGCAAATATGCAAACCTGTACATTTATATTAAGGAATTTGCTGACAAGAAGGTAAAGAAGTGTGATTTAGACATGTTAGGAAAGCACAAAGGCTGTTTGATATTGTCCTGCATTTGTTGTTCATTTCGAAGAGCTATTAAGTAACATGAGAAATGTAAAAGAGCAAGCATTACAAGCCTTTGGGAAGTGATAATTTTAAGTATGTACAGTAACATTTTATAGATTGAAATAGATATTTATTAATGGTTTTGGATGCAGGTTATGTTTTGAAAGAGATGTCCAGAATTCAAACCTGTATTGATCTGGACTAGTTTGCAAAAGTCTACAACCATGGTAACTCAAATACAGTTACTAGTACTTTCTTCAACAGTGTAATTGGAAAAAAAATAAAACTCATGCTGGGACTTCTCCATTTTAATTCAAAATTCTATGTACAAATGCTAAGCACTTGTTTAGGGAATAATGTCTTCAATCATTTACTGAATTGAAATATTTCTTCTCAGTAAAAATTTCTATGTTATCAGTCCACGGTAATACTTTAGATGGGAAGTCTTTCTGTGTGTCTGACAACAACCTTGATGTTGTCTTCCTAGAAGCAACAGGTAGTACAAGACATAGTACAAACCTCTAGGTTGGAAAGTGAGTTTTTGCATTTCCCTTTTATTTAAAAAATACATTTTAATAATTTGAAGCATTTCTGACAATATTTTATATGGTAGCTGTCTGAACTCAATTACCAAAGGAGGGTATTCACAAGTGAAGGTTTTGGGATTCCAACTAAGTAACTGAGATGTAAATTTCCATATGAAACTAAATCATCCAGCAGCAGCTTTTGTAGGCTGTTCTTCATTTACAGAATTTAAGTGAAAGGGATCACAGATGGGAGAGTGGTTACAAAAATTGCGTGTCTCAGAAGTGTTCTGATATTTATGCAGTAATAAGTGTTCTCAGGATAGATTTATTCATAGATTTAAGTAGGCTGCAACACCCTTCTTCCAGTAGTACTCTGTACTACAGACACGGGGAGGGAAGCATCTGTCTGTCTCCTTAGACCATCCCCTCCCCACAGTCCGTTGTGTAGCTGCATCTAGATTTCCTGATAATGTTTTGTAATTTTTTTTTATTGCTAGTTTTATATTTCTGTTTGAGCCATGTAGATTAGGGACCCTCAAGCTGTTCTCACAGGGACAGCTCTGGGCATCATGAGGACAGCAAAGTTTCATGGACTGAAGTGCAGTTTTAAGAATTTGACCCATATTCAATTTGGGGGGAGTGGGGGGCTGTGGGGTAGGTATCGATAATTAAAAAAAAAACCAAAAAACAAAACAAAACAAAAAAAAAAACAAACAAACAAACAAAAAAAACCCACAAAAAACCCACCAAGATTTTGTAAGTGTGGCTATATTAAACTGCTCTGGCAACTTTCCTCGTGCAAAACAGACATAAAAGGTTCTGTAATTCATCACTTTCCTCAACTATTGCGCTTTGTTTTAAATTAGCCATATTATGTTTGCTGTCTTGTTCTTTGCTGAGGTGTAACAGTGTCTTATCGGCTAATAGGCTCATTTTGATTTTGTCCACAGTAAATATTTGAAGCTTGTATAGTTAACAGTGTAAGCAAAATCAGACTCTACCCGTTACTAGGGGGGAAAAAGTAAAATCAAAGAATCTTTCCATGGCTAGCTCATGGCTTCTATTTTGATCTTAGAAGCTTATTCAGTTAAAATGTCATCATTTTGAAAGATTAGTGATGAAAACCAAATGCATGCAGATGGTAATAATTAGATGCAATTTTTTTTATATCCAGCATATAACCACTTTATATTTAAACCATAAATTAAAAATACGTGTATAATTTTGTTAGAATCCCAGTAGCAACTTCTTTTGATTCTTGATTATACTTGTTTCACGCATTATAAAGAGAGTTTGCAGATTTTTCCAGCTGAAAAAATTGTACTTTTTATTTGTGGTTTCCTTTGAATATGTGATCTGAGAATTACTTGGATGCCACCTGCTACAGACATTTTTCTCTTGCATTTGATTTTAGGTGTTAAAACTCATAGGCAATGGCATAATCTAGGTAACAGGTCTAGTAGCATTATTGTGCGCAAAAGCAAATAAGGTGTGAACACAGAAGAAATGAAAACTCCTTTTTTGTGATGAAATGTTGATGTTTTCCCACTAACAACTATACACCACCTTCAACTTTCTTTTTCTTTCAGAGCCTGTGTCCAGGTGCTGTGTCTTTTTTTTCATTAAGCAAATCACAAGGTTGAGATGTGAATGTAGTAATTTTCTCTGTAGATATCTAACTAAGCAAAATTGAGCTCTTGGGTTTTGTGGGTTTTTTTGATCATTCAGCCAAAAGAAAAAATTAAAAATTAACTTGCAAGATTTGATACACCCAGCCAGCTTAACTTTTATTCTGAGACAAAGCAGTGCAGCTAAATGGATGATCGGATAGAATGCTGTTTAGATAACCTCACTTGCAACACTGAGGAGAGAGGACTGCTCACATACCTTAGCAGCTGACAATCAGATCAGTAAGTTTATCTTCAGGTACTTTCATAAACCAGGAACTATGCATCTATATGGTAGATGGATTTTGAGCTCCAGAGATGGTAATTGTCTCACATGCCCATTGCTTTTGCTGGCTGATTGGAAATATTGATTTTACTTTGTTTACAAGTCTAACATTGTCTATACTAAGCTAAGACAGAGAGGGTATGCTCATACAATCACAAGTGCCAAGTTTCAGGGGCTTAGCAAGTTACGTTTCACTAAGTGGGTTTATGCTAATACAGTTTATTTTGTGTTTGCAATGACTAGAACATCATATTTATTCAGTTGCTGTTATCTCAGCCAGAAAGCGGTAGCTCAGTAAGTCTTGGCAGTGCACTCAGTCACGTTACTGAACTTTGAGGTTTCTACTGATGGCTGGCGCAAACCATAACTGGATGCTGCCGTCGGTATCAGAGGTTTCCACTCAGGTTCTGTGAGGTTGCACTTGTGAAGCAACTACCAAATAGATCACAGGCCTCTTCAGTCCTTCGTGAAATGTGCTGGCTGGTTCAAGCACAGTTAGTGAAAAATTACACCCCATTTTTAGCTTTGTCTTAGGATATTCATGCTCTAGTGATTAATTGGTAAGTAGGAATGACACCCATGAGGGATGATTGTGTCTAAAGATAAAATGTCATTTGTCTCGCATACTTCTACATTTTCATACTCCTGTTCTACGTGGTACTTGCGCACCAAGTATAAAACCAGAATTGCACTTCACTTCAGAAGCGTGTTAGCCAGTAGGACCCTCAGATCAGCTCTTCTTACTTTGTAGCTTCTTTCATTTCCTTTAATTTCCTTACCTTTCATGAGAAATGATGCCAGGTGATTTTTTTTTTTCCAACCATCATTTTTCAAGGAAGACTTGTGCTGACAAAAAGATAGGCCATATATTGTGGCACCAAATGCGTGTGGAGGGGCTCTTAATTCTTAACAGGAAATTCAGCAGCTCTTGGCACTTTGCTAGCTTTTGTTGGCTAAAATATGCCCACTGCACATATCATCCTGTGACAGCATCGTTTGGAAATAGGTCAGTTTGCCAAGTATCTAATGATTCTTAATCTCTGACTGCTGTGCTAACTTTCTGAAAGTTGTTAGCTGAATTTTGACTGTGATTCTACATATACTCAGGAGCTGCCATTAAACTCCCCATGTGGTGTCACGATAGTGTTGAAAAGCAGTTGAAGAACTTGCTCGAACAGTAAAGGGTAATGGCAGCCTCATCTCCTCAAAGGGCTTAGCTAAATGTTTTATTTTTTATTCATGCCTTTAGTCAACTTTCAAAGCGACCTTTATGTTGTAAGCGTATTCTCAGAGGATATTCTCTGTCTGGGGTACTGACAAAGAGATGATGGATTGTATGATTTAGTGGTTACAATGTACTTAGACAAGTGCAGACAGACATGAATGTTTGAAAGAAAACAGTGAACTAAGCTCCTGTGAAGAACTGAAATCCTGTGATGCTCATCAGGATCAGTGTAAGATAATTAGTGATTTGATTAAGATGAGGTAAAGCTGAGATGTGCAGTTGGTATCAGTGGGTGGGTTTGGTGGCTGGCATTTACAGCAAAGTTAATCCAGAAAGCTGCTCTACATACATTTCTGGCATTAATCACGTGCTTTTGATCAATCTTCATGTGAAACTTGCTCTTTGCCTGTTTGTCCTTCTAATAGGAAAGGTAATGATTTTGCTTTTATCACAACAGACTCTCCTGCAGTCGTCGTCACCTGATAGTGTAATCTCAGCTAAAACAAAATAATTTGGTAGGTCCTGAGTGCTTAGAATAGCATTCAGACTTCTAGCATTTTTAAGCTGTCGTTGAACCCAGCAATCACTTTTTAACACTTTATTTAATGATTGTTGTCTCCCTGTTTGACCTCCTTATTCCAGTGACGCAGAATTATGATAGAAGGGTCTCTGTTTGTTAAGTTTCTAGAAAGCAGGTTTTCCCCACAACGCAGTCAATTTGGAGTTGAGAGTCTCAACAAGATGTTTTGCGAAAGGAAGTAAGTTGCACTTTTCACATTTCCATCAGGAAAGGCAGTAGAAAGAGCAAGCCACTTTGTGTGGACTGACACATTAACTCTTAGCGGAGGGAAGGGTTTGACAAGTGCTGTGCTGAGCATGTATCGCTTGGCAGCATGGGACCGTAGGTTTCCCTGGGCAGGCTGCTCTGTGCTAAGCATTGTAATTGAAAACCTCATTTTATCATCAGTGACAGTCTGGAAAAATCCACTTTTGATTCAGTCCTCTCTTTAAGAGACAATCTTCACAGCTTTCTTCTTGAGAATGAAGTACTGGACCCCACTGTTATTTAGCAGCT